GACATGGCGATCCACAACGTGATCGGCGACGCGGCGCGCGGCGCGACGTGGGTCTCGATCCACAACGGCGGCGGCTGCGGCTGGGGCCAGGTCATGAACGGCGGGTTCGGCCACGTGCTCGATGGGTCGCAGGCCGCTGAGCGCAAGGCCGCCAGCATGCTGCGCTGGGACGTCAACAACGGCGTCTCGCGCCGCGCGTGGGGCCGCAACGACAATGCGTGCTTTGCGATCGCGCGCGAGATGGAGGTCGACCCGCTCCTCACCGTCACGATGCCCCAGGCCGCCGACGACGACCTCATCAAGCGCGTGTGCGACGCGACCTTTCAGTAGGTCCATGGGTTGTGAACAGTGGTAGACGTGTATGAAATGAATCTGAATGTGAATCTTCGCTTTGTTGATCTCAGTCTGGGCATCAGGCATTCGCTCGATGTGGCTGTGTCGAGGTGCTTGATGTATTAATGGTCATGAGAACGATGTGGCTGGTCGGTCGGAACACCATGAGAGCGACGTGGCTGGTCGATCGGAACATCAAGGCGGCGCGATGGTTCGCCAAAGCAAGTCGCCAAAATGTGCATTTTGAGTCTTGAGTTTGGGCTACTCGGTTTGTATGTCGGTAAGGAAAACCAGTGTGACGGGTTTTGGACTGAAGCTGAAACTCAACTTGAGGATCTGCTCTGTTCAAACCGCCATTGAGGTAAACTCTCTGACGCTCCGGGAGATGCTCAGAATCGACATCCTTTTGCGCGCACAGCACGAGGATGTCAGCCCTCCAGAACTACAATTGTAGCATTTGAACCGAAGAAACCGGCCCTGTACTCTACCGCAGTGATCTTTACAGGACCGACCCTTGGGCAAGATCTGCACCACGCGACAAGGCGACTCAAGCTCGCGTGTCCCCAGAGCTGCATGGACAAGCTTGTGGTTTAGGCGTCGCAAGCGATCATTTCTCGACACATGCCACTCGCCCGACCGTCGTATCTTTGCGGCGGGCAAGTCAGGAAGGTCGCGCCAGCGTCGACAGGGTATAATCTCAGCTTCAAGTCGCCGTTGAGGCCAACGGCAATTCGCTGGCATGAAAGCTGCAGCCCTGTCGCGGCTGCACGGACGCGACGAGAGCAACCGAGGCAATGAGTTTCTTCATTTCACTTACTGACCGTCGTCAGGTATCACGTTGTGGCTAGTATATTTATTTTTGGACACCCGAGAAGTTGCCATCGTCGCGTTCCGTGTCCCACTTCTCCATCCACGAGCCGGGGCAGATGGCCTTGGCGTACTGGCGCGTCTGCTTGCAAGCATCCTCGTCGTCGTCGTTCTTCTTCAGGCAGAGCGCCCACTCGTTGTAGCGGGTCCTACACACCATCATCGTTCATGAGCTCTCGTCCGTAGGTCGATCGATGCATACCAGCAGTGCTGCGTCTGGTTCTGCGTCGGGAAGCGCGGGTCGACGGGCGTCGTCTTGAGGTCTTCACGGCTGTTCATCGTCGTTGTCTATTTGGGAGCAAATCGGAAACTAATTCCCTCCATACACAGCCGGACCACCCATCTTGTATACTCAACCCAAGTCTATTTTGAAATCAGCCGGCTCAAAACACAAAAAAACACGCCCTACTAACGCCCAGTCACTCCCAGTAGCATACTGAACGCCAGTTCTTTCGTATCCGGATACCCCAGCCCTACGCGGTAGCAAAAAAATACGCGATGCCTTTTTGAACTCTTTTTATTCCTCGCCACCACGCCACATACAAACACGCCATATTAAAAACAAGCCGACGTTGCAAACCGTGGGATTATTTTGAAATCCACGCCCATGTTCGACACCGGTCGGCCTTTTTCGCGGTCACGCTACCGCCGCCGCATAATACGGGGAGAGGCCGACCGCCAGCCACGTCATGGGCTCGACCATGCCATGCGATTCGGACACGGAGGGCTTCATGACCGCTTCCTTTGTGCTCCAGCATGGCCATGCCCATGCCTGCGCTAGTGCAGCGCGCTCTGGGCGACCGCGAGCGGCGACGATCCTCGTCGCGCATATTATGCAACGCAGCAGATACGTCCAGACGCCGAGGCTCGGGTGTCCTGGTAGCCTCCATGCGACTAGCCGCACTCGCCGGCCATACGCCTAAAAGCTGCCATGTCAGCAAGCGATGCGACGCTCTCGTCTCCGCAAGCACTCGCCTCCGACATCGGCCGGCCCGCTCATTGTTCGACGCCTCCTGCGCTGCTGTGTACACTGATCATCGGTGGTGCGTTGAATTACGGCAGAGTTAAATACGCGGATCAACGCTGGAAGAGGAGGCTCACGCCCTCGTCGTGCTGGTCGGGCGCTTCCTTGGCCTTGGTCGGCAAGATCAGCGCCTCCGGAAGGTCGTCAATGGCCTTGAACGTATGCGGCGCGTCGCGGTACGCCAGGAACGGCGTCTCGAGGAACTCTTTCATGAGGTTCTTCTGCGTCTTCATGCTCGGGAATTGCCGCAGCGCTGCCTCGAGCTCGACCACATGGCCCGTCTCGACGGTGGCGAGGCCGAGGAGGATCTGGCGCGGCCACGGGTTGACGTCTACGTCGCGTTTCCGGGGTTGGTTGAGCGGGTCGATGCCCTTGCACTCGTCGACCGGGAGGAGACCGAGCGTCAAGCGGCAGTAGATGTTGCGCAGCAAGTTGACGAGCTCCCATTTGAGGCCGTCGTCCACGTCGTAAAAGTGCGACAGGAGAGATGTGAGCGCCGCCGTAAACACGTCCTTTCCGAGAAGAACGCCGAGGTCGAGGCGGCCAAACAAAAGACTCACGAGGCGGTCTAGCAAGATTGCACTGCGCCGCGCACTCAGCGTGTCGCGCCACATGAGCACGCTGAGCAGAAGTGACGTGAGCGCGTGCGTGAGGCCCGGGGACGCCAAGACAAAGTCGCGTCGGACCCGGTCCTTCTCCATCATGATGTGCTTGGGGTGGTCCGAGTCGATATCAACGACGGTCTTGGCATCCACGAGCGCTTCAATCAAGTCGACGGTATGGCGCACGACCTCGAGCACGACTGCGTTTTGGACCGTATCGATCGTCGTGGCTTGCATGTCGAGGCCGATGAGCATGGGTAGATGCAGCGCCGGCGACGGCGACCCGGCCCAGACCGGCGCGAGCCGCGACGAGAGGTGGATTAAGACGCGCTGGAGCCGCGACTCGAGGAGCGGACCGAGGTGCGTCTCGGGACAGCCCTTGACAAACGGCAGCCACACACTCGCGAGAAACGACTTCCAATGCCGGTGCTCCATCGTCTCCATGTGCACGAGCACGGCCTGGTCGAGCATGTTGGCGAGCGACGGAAGGTCGACGAGCGTGTAAAAGCTGGGCAGCGAGAGCGCGCACCCGAGGAGGTGGTAGCTAATGTCGCGCACGTTCTTGGCCCAGCGCGCATACTTGAGGAGGTCGGGCTGGAGGACCGGCACTTGCTCTTTCCCGACGAGCGCCTGGACGACCTCTTCTTGGGACATGCAGAGCACGCCGCGGACGTCCGAGGTGTCGTGCGATGCAAAGAGTGCATGCTGCTCGACGGGCAGCGTCTGCAGCGTCCGCAAGAGAGCGAGCAAGTTGGGCAGCAAGACGGGCCAGACGCTCGTGAACGGGTGCACGTCATCATTAAAGACGATACGGCGGGCAATCCCATACAACGTCGTGAGCACTTTGACCAAGCCAAAGACAAGCGCGTCGTCCTTGGCCGCCATGGCCATGACCAGCGACGACGGTGACGCTACGAGCGCCGTCATGGCCGGGGACGTCCAGGACGCCAACGGCTCGGCAGCGATTTGGCCAATGAACGACGTGCGCTCGTCGGCCGTCGGCAGCGAGTTGGAGACCAGGACGAGCATCTCGTAGAGCAGGACGCTTTCACTGTCGAGCACGACGGGGAAGAGGCCAATGACCTAAAATACCGGCATCAACAACCGAACGTTCGCATCACGAAAGATAAGAATCAAGCTCGAAAGACAAAACAACATACCTGGTTGCAGAGAATGGGCAGGAAAGGCAGGACGTGCGACGGCGACGCGTGGCAGATGGAGACGGCGACGCGTGGCAGATGGAGATCAAGGACGCCAGCGCCCGTCGACGGACGTTCATGGTCGTCGCGCCCGGCTGTGCAAACACAATGAGGCCAAAGAGCCGCTCAAACACGCGCGGGTACAAGCCCGGCGCACGCATGTAGTACTTGGCGAAGAGCGAGAGACCGAGGCAGTGGCGGAAGAGCAGCCACGGGTCTGGCGTCTCGTACGCCAACAGCGCCTCGACCGTCGCGCTCAGTGTCGCCAAGCAGCTCGCATCGTTGAGGGCCGCCTCGGGGAGCGACTTCATGATGCAGTCGATGAGTGCGACGAGACCTTCGTGGTACAGATGCGCGGTGCTGCTGTCGGTGCAGTGCCCACGCTCGTCGAGCCCGTCCGAGCCACGCGCATGCGTCGACAAGACGTACTGCAGCCGCTCGTAGAGCAGCTGCAAGCCGACGCCGGGCTGCAATTGCAAAAGGAGCCGCAGAATACCGTAGAGGCGCCCGCGAAAGTTGCTAAAGAAGGCCAGGTACGCGTCATTGTCTTCAAACTCGAGCGCGCTCACGGCGTCGGCGTCGTCGCGGTCGGGCGAGTGCAGCTTAAAGTACTTGTCCATCGAGGTGCGCCAGAGCGCTGGCAAGACGTTGTGGGGCACCAAGAGGCTACTCACGACCTTCTTTTGCTTGAGGAGGTTGAGCCACACGATGACTTGAGCCTCCGTGACCGTGAGCGACGGGTGCTGAAAGAGGCGCAGGAGAAGCTCGACAAACGGCAATAGTACGTCGTGCGACGCTGGCAGCTCGGCCACGAGCAGCTCGAGCTGATGCAAGCCCCAGCTCACGAGGACGCGGTTCAAGTGCAAATGCAAGTTCAAGTCGTCGACGTCGTCGACGTCGGCGACCGAGATCTGCGCCAGTGACGACCAGCACGCCTGTGTTGTCGCTACCAAGAGCGGCAAATGGTCTTTCCCAAACGTACGCGAAAAGTAGACTTCCAAGCACTCGGCGGCCGCGATCCGGATGCTGTGTTGCAGCGCCGACGACTGCAGGAGGAGGCTCGCGACCGCGATGAAGTTGGTGTCGGGGACGCGGGCGTCGTCACCGGCATCCAGTCAAGGAACTCCTTCATCATTTGGAGGGCGGCCAAGATGACGGCGTTGGCCGTCTTGTGGTCGGCCGATGGCGTCTGCAGCTGCGCATACTGCACCTCGAGCTGCGTGTACACGAGCGGGAAGAGCGTCGGGAAGCACGCGTTGAGGCCTTGGAGAATGTCCTTGCGCCGAATCGGCGGGATCGTGCTGTTGAAGCTCGAGCTCACGCAGTCTTCTGCGATCGACCGGAAGAGGAGCATGACGATTTCGGTCTGGATCGGGCCCATGGACCAGAGCGAAAGAAGCTGCTCGAGGAGGTCGGGCCAGCGCTGCGGGAACTGGCGCTTCGCAATGTCGGCGAGCACCTTGACCAGCTTCTCCTTGATGAACGACGGCTCGTCGGCGGCCACATGCGACGCCACAATGTTGAGCAGCGTCGACCGGTACTGCACCGTCTCGTCGGCCGAGCACGCTTTCCAGTGGACGCGGATATAGTTCTCGACGACATGCAGCGCAAAGTGGCGGTGGTGGCTGGCATGCCCACGCTGCTGGAGGAGGTAGAAGGCGTAGCTGACGCAGTTGGGCTGCTGCTGGAACTGCTCGCAGTAGGCATAGGCCGCGTCGCGCTCGGCCTTGAGGCTCCCGGTCGCGTGGCAGACGTCGACGGCCCGCAGCAGCTGCTCGTACACGTGCTCGTCCATCGCGTGTCGGGCGTCTCGACTTTTGAACCAACAACCGGCCATCCGTATGCGCCATCCGGATAAAATGGATTTTCTGCACTCGGCGCGCGACGAGTGATGGGCTCGCTTCCGATCGCCAGGAGTAAGTTCCTATGGCCCATGTCGACAAGAGTCATGGCAAGACGACGTTCCTCGGGCTTTTTAGGGCGAGAGCGCGCGGGTTGTGCTGGGCTGGCAGAGACCAACACCTCGTGGCGTCCACGACGCTGGCTGCCCGTCGACTCGGAGCTCGCAACCTGCTGGCTACGATGGCTTGAAACGACAGAGATCGCTGCACGTTGAGATACTCTGGCGTGGCACGAATGCAGCGCTCTACCGTGGACGTCTCGCCGTGTGGTGTCGTCTTGGCGACGTTGTCGTCGAGTCGTTCTGGAGCACACATCGGCCAGTGAAGGTCGTCGGGTTGTTGCTGCAGATAGTCACCACCGAGAGCGTCGTCCTCACGACGCTTTCCGCTGGTACGCCATGTACCTTGGCCATGAGGCAGCTTGTGCGAGCACAAGCTGCGCATCGCATGATCCTCGTTGGCATCATGGCCAAGGCGTGACATCGTCTTCCATCTCCCCACCTTGAAAGCACGTTGCACAGGAACAGCTCAGTGCCAATGACGCTAAAATCTACGCTAGTCGTCCGGTCGAAATGAGCTGGTCAACGGCGTTATATACCAGTACTGCTTGCC